TCGAATCTTTAAGTAAAGCACCAGAATTTTCTTTGAAAGCTAATAAAAACAACTCCACTTTAAGCCGTTTCTATTTTTTAAACCCAGTATTGACAGTCCTGTTCCGCTAACTAAACATTCAGAAGGCAGGTATGAAGAATTATCAACTTATATTAGCAATTCGCAGCATCATCGTATGAGCAGTCTGTGTCCAGTAATCCCCAATATTGTGAATTCAGTGGATGAAATGAACCGAGGGATGCATATAATCACTTTTGAATATGAGGATTACTGTTCGAAATGGTGGATAAAGATAAATGATCGTTAGGAACAGCCGAACTATTCGGATCTGAATTACAAGATTTAGTACTACTTGAAGCAAAATGAACAGTAGTTGTGTATACGACTGAATGTATCCTATCTTACCACATTTAAAACATTTTGCATTACGAAATGCCCATGAATTACGAGGATGAAATTTGCCACAGGATAAACATTTACCAAACTTGCTTTGCGATTACTTGTTGAATCACCTTTCATATTTTCACGAAAATTGGAATCACTATTAAACGAACGCAAGTTTGTCCGACCCTGAGATTGTGTTTCATCATGACGACTGAGTAAAGTATTTGAAATATTCATCGACTGGATATCAAGTTCATTCACTGCTTCGTAGTTAGTACATGCAGTTCTAGCGTCTTGAATGGAACAGTTCGACATTCTTACCAGCTCTCTTTACATACCCGGTATGTTAATTCCTACAATTAGTCGATCCTTCAGCTGCACATGAAGTCGATCACCAAAATTGCACTTGGCAGCTTGTCTTTTCAATTCAAGGATGGATCTACTACCTTTTTGCTCATTTTGCTCCCTCACGACATTCAAAACTGGTACACTTTACATGATTTAATAATAGTTCCTTAAGCGTTGCATGATGAAGTGAGACAGAGTTTTCTGAATATGTCAACGTTCTTAATAAACTGTAGGCTTCTTTTCTGATAAAATGTAATGAAATGTGGCAAAATTTTATCACCCTTAACGTTTTTCTTGATCATTCTCCAGATTCCAAAATTTTACAAATAATCCTCAAAAGTTTCATAAGTTGAATGAATGTCCAACTGTTCCATCACAGACTCCATCGCGATGCCAGTTTCGATAATTACGAGTATTTAAATTATAGTGCAAACCAAGAATCTTAGAAATAACGCAATGTAAGCAAGAAGTATTAGATGAGCACTAACGAACATATTGTATTTGGAATACGAAATCAAACAGTCCTCAACTACAAAGGATTCGTTAGTTCATACAAACACCACATCCAACACAGCTTAAATTGGAGTTACCATCTGTAACTCATTATATTCGCTTAATATTTGTCCGATCACAAACAGTTACATTACTTATTTAGATTTTGATCCCTTCAATTATTGGTCATAGAATACACAGCGAAAGCATTCTATATCGTCTACCTTGAAAGCCTCAACAAGTGAGTTTTTTTAGTATTACAACACTGATTTCTCTATGGAGATACAGCTTTTATTAAAATGTCTCTAACAAGTTACAGACCGTTTACTTAGCTAATGGTTGTTTGTAATTAGTTGACGAGATCAAGTTGGAATCCGTTTTTATTTCAACTTAAACTAATCATTCAAACAGAACTTTATATCACAAATAAACACATTACTTACAATCAACAGTGTTTAAAACAATGTACCTCAAGAACGTGATGAATTTGAGTAGAAGACATCCATAATTGATACTGATTATTCAAAGAAATAAATCATTTGTTCCTAGTTTCGTCATGTCGGTTGCTTTCATTGGTCAATTGGAAGAATATCAATAGACAATTGATAACCTGATAATGGTTTACAGTTAATTAACGAAAACATTCTAATGGAAGAGACTGAAAATAATTGACCTTAATTAACTTAAATCTAACATTTGTATATGCACATTATTGTGAGTGGTATGAATGCACGAACGTGCACATAGCACTGGTATCCAGCAATCTCGAACTTGCTTGCGATCGATCAATTTCTAAACCAATGACCATGCATCGTAAGTCGTATCCGTTCAACTTCAATTAATCCGTGATTTTGTGCAACGTTTTGTTCATTATTCTTGAGACGATATCTGTCTCACACTCCATTTATCACGGGGTCTGAATTCATTTCTGTTTTGTTTTTACGTATTAAGCATATTTTACGTGGTTGATTTTTAATACGCTGTAGTATTTGAACTTCTTTGTTTGTTTTTTCCTTGTACACACTGTTTCTTATTAAAATTATTCCGTTTTTTTTTGTAATTTGATTGTCTAGCGTTATCTAATTTACACTTTATTATTATATAGTAATGTTCTTAACAGATTTTTGTGTGATCAAATATTTGGAATGCATCGCGCTAATATATCACGTTGCTCCGCTAATCACGTTGTTCTCTGTCTATTGATGATACTTGAATCTCCGTTGAGAATTCAAAACCTAGCATGATAGGTGATAAGTTTGACTCCTGATGCCTTCTCAGATGATGCACTTTAAATAGCCTCATATTTCGATGATTCTAGAAATATTATGAACCTCTCTTTGACCGTTACTACCAATCATTTCGGTGAGATTATCTCATATCAGTCGAATATACGTAACGTCTATCCTGATCAGCTTAACGCATAAGAGTCAAGCTCTTCTCACGTGCGTGAACTAACCTCGACAACCATTCCCAACTCAGTTTAAAAACAGAACTACGAGTAGTGATTGTGTTTCGATTCGCGTTTAAGCACACATACGTCTCTCACAATGCAAAACTCCTTTTCCTAAAGGCCGTAAAACGTTTTGAAGCAGAATTAACCTGTAGTGACCTACTTTTAATGGAAACAATTATTATTATAACCAATTGTGCCAGGGATTGTTTCACCGTACTCGTTTGTTTAACTGTACCAAAATACATACATTCTTCCGTTGTTTGTGGCCTTGCATGAATTCGGTTATGCTCAGTAACCCCACTTATAACCTGAAACGATCTCGGTATTCTTTCGATACCACGAGATCGCCAACAAACACATCTCGACTACAGCCATCAACTGCCTTCTCATATTAGGCCTACGAGGGATCTTATCGGTTAACTGGCACGTAGTCTTCCTGTAGTGGTGATCACAGTCAACCGCGATTCGACGCCATACTACAACCCGATTCCATTTCGTGAACGGAGAACTCTGTTTTGTTCTAAACCAGCATTTGGAAATTTGTTGTTCTAAGGCATAGACGATTTCATCAAAAATATTACTTTGAGGCAAAAAAATATGTTGTAAGCTTGGAAACGTCCATTCAGCATCACTTTATTCATTGTTCGCATCATAAACTAAAATTTCCATCACTTTTCGAGCAATAACACGTGATTGTCCAGGCAGGTGTTTTAAAATTTACCTGTCTGTGTTATATCCAGCTGAAAGGTTCATCAAAACACATACTGTAAAGAGAACACAAACTCCCATAATGCTCTTCCAACTTTATGAATTCCATATATCCATGGTTACCTGATGAATGATCGAGCCAGCGACAGATAAATATCATTAGATTAAAAAATTTGCTAAGTGTCAGATTATCACGCTCTCACAATCGAAAACTGTACACTAGGCAATGTTGTTTCTGCAGAATAACATGCGACTAGGTCTATCGTTTGTTTTAGGAAACAGTTCTATTTTCGTCTCATTTGCGTGTCAGATTCTGACTTTACGTTCGAAAGTAATGTTGACTGAGTTATGTTGAGATTTCAGCGCGTTGGTAGAGGCTGACTTTAAACGTAATTTGTAGGTCTACTGGATGGTTGGAATCGCCTAAATAGAAAATCCGACTATGAGTTACGTAACTACTCTTCACCTAATAAGCATTAATGTTACTGCGATCGACCGTACTGAAGTAAGGCTTTTAACTATCAATTATTTAATAATTTCCTAATAAGATGTTATATATTGGGGAGTTTCTTATGTAACAGTATCAGTCCAAACGCAGACTCAGAGAGCTCAAAAATGGAAACTTTCAAGTTTGAACAGAGATCTGGAAAATTCAGGAATACTGGAGACGACTGTTACAAGCTTTGAGGAAAGCAGACTTGATAGCCATTTTTTAAATGTTTCTAGTTGATGTGAACACACCAAAACTTTATCCAACAAACCAACATACGTCACATCATACGTACAGTAATCATTCCAACTGCATCGGATGCCGAATATCACCAAGTAGCATAAGAAAATACGGAAACCCTACAATGCATGGATAGAGAATAAATAGAGAGAACCGAAGCAAGCATGACCACGACTTAGCATGTGTATTTTGAGGAGTCAGTCATTCACTATAATTCATTAGGGATTATTCACTGTATCGACTATCAGATACAGAATAGTCCGCACAAATCAGTTAACGGATAGTTTCGCCATGAATGGGGAAGATCGTCAAGATCACGGACAGACGAATGATCGCTTGTGAACAGGCATGGTTATTAAGAAGCATTGCAAACAATGTAATCCGAATCGAAGGAAATAATGACGAGCAAAGTCAGGCCAACAATCACCTATAAAGCATTTTGCGCTAATTGAGAAAGATTCTGTATTTGAGAAGCACAATTTGAGAAATTACAAACTGGTATTTGATAAGTATTAACCGAGGATATTTCCTAAAACACACATGACATGAATGAATAAGTGTAGGAAATTCATGTTGTTCACCTATTGGATGATGTGTCATCGGCTAATTTTAACTAACCTTCCTCAATTCGTTGCACATGTGAACCACCACTGAATACATCCGACTTAATGATTTTCGGTGAACAAGCTTACGAAACTCAGTCATTGTACATGGAATATCTTTGAAGTAAATCATTTTCACAAAAAAGACCTCCTAAAAGCCAATTCGTGTTTGTCTACTCACGTACGCTCGCTACAATGTTATAGTGATTATGCATATTATTCACTGCAAACAAATACTCAGCGTTTTCTTTTCAAAAGTAATGTAGATAATAAGAGTCAACAATTTAATTACCATATTCCATGTATTGTGTGTTAAAATTACAGAATGTGATTCAAGAATATTGTTAAGTTTACTACAGACTAAAACAGTGTTTATTTAATTTGATTTGATTGGGTCATCTGAAAGAAAAGTGTATGAAAGCTTTGATGATTCTTGGTAGTAATATGCTTTTGAATGAGACTGATAACCGAGCCTGCAATGTGTAATGATATAACAAAAAGGAGGGTGTAAATTTAATCAATGGTAATGAGTATTGTAGTCGAGGGATTAGATGACGGTTAGTTCAACGTTAATTTGTCAATTGTGTTTGATCGGTGGACAACAATTGTGTCCTATCACAATTTGTGCAACACTAAAACAAATATTCTGCTTCACTATAATCGTCTGAATGAATATGCACATATTGAGAGCACATGTATACAGCGATTCTGGAACAATTACCGATTTGCACGGGTAACATTGATGTTGACAACTGAATGTTGATCACATCCAAATTGAACACATTTTCACAAATGGTTACAAAACATTTTGATCGAACCATATTCATCCAACAACCACAGTCTGTGACTCGAAATTGAAAGCATTTTATGAACAGTAACTACCATGCTACATGGTCATGTTTAAATGAACTGTCTATCTACTATCACTTTTCAACGAAACTTGATAGATTTACAAACACAGATATTTGTTAAAATCCAACTATAACACAACGATTCACTACTCACTTGTCACTCTTCATTTGACTGATCTGTTAATTTGTAAATCAAGTGAACAGTGAAAATCATGAAATGAAACTACAACCGTAACAATTTTGTTGACATGCATACTCCCTATTGCCGTATTGTTGTTTGATGAGGCCACCTCAACCGATAAATATTTGCATGAGTCTATCGGCTGTTGAAATCGTGATTTCGTTAGCCAACAAATTGATTCGCGTTTCATGAATATAAGTCGTGACCTTAAGGAATGGAAATGCGTTAGACCCTGTAACGGTCGTCACATATTCGAATTACATTGATAACAGACGTCTGTATACAGCACTTTTGTCTACAGTCTCAATATTGTCGACTTGATTTGACAGCACTAGATGTGAAAGTGAGTTGGTGAGACCAGCTTGAAAAGGGCATAACAAACTGTCAGTCTGTTTTTGGTGATTCAGAGAATATCAACAGTAAGTGGATGGTTTATTGAGAGCAAATCACCAATATTGCAAATTGTTAACAGATTTTGTTTGAAAAGTTATTTCATTGACGTCCTAAACAGGTTATCCCATCTGTATATTGAAAACCGACGCCACATGGTCTTATCGTTGTGAATTAAGAGAGTCTGTATACCTCGACTTGAGAGTGAACCTGACTCCGATTCGAAGGTTTCTTGTATTTCTACAAGTTATGCTGAAGTATTTGTGGTTGGTGGTCTAGTTCCACGATGTAGACATTATCACATGGATAAGGTATTTCTACTGCTTGCTATGTTTATGCCGTTCCGGTTTCATACAAATCTAATAGGTCGTGTTCTGTGTTCCGATTGTTTTTCTCACTCACAATACTTTCACAGAGACTCACGGTTTAGTCAGGCTACTAGTATCAAGGGAGGAAAGGAAGAATACGATATCCATTACGTATTCACTTGCATCCACTTTGAAATTGAAAAGCGATTTTCAACAGATACTGACAGGTATCCTTAACATTTACGCAATCTAGATAAACAATCACCGAGAATCATATTTGTGGAATCCACAGTAATATAAGTTGTAATGAATGATCTACTTATAAGGTAGACAATTTCGGTGCAATAGGGCACCACAATAATTTGCCATAACAAAATGAAAGTCAAGAATAATCAGGAGTAATGGTGAGTAATGTTACATGACGGTAAATGATTACGGGCAACGTCATCAGTCCCATGTGATCATTGTACAACATGTGAATTCCATAGTAAGGTTTATGCATTGAGCGACATATTTCACAACTTACCAGATGGAAACGAAGCATAGATACAGTGACCTATATTTTGAAAGACAATTAAGTAATATTCATCAGTGAGAACTGCAAATGAATTGTGGTTAGAAAAATTGAAGTGATAAATTGATATAAATAAACTTCAAACAAAGTTAAAATAGACGGCTATCATTATGTTTGCCTGTTCCTACTGAAACAAATACGCAGTACAATTAAATTATCACTTTAGGAAAAAGAAAGTTGGAGGTGGAGTAGGTGGTTTGCATCTCGTTGAAGGGGCTTACAGGAGTTGATTTGACTGGTCGATTTGATCGATCACCCTTTTCCCATTGTTTCCACAAGCAACATTATCATCACATACTTCAGCATTTATGTAAGCATACTCAAATAACATGGCAAACAGGTCGGTAGAAATAAGGATTAACGACTGCGTCGTATGACAGCTGACAGATGTAGTTGAAGTGCCAGCAATTACACTATTAACAATCGTTGGCAAACCACAGTACGAAACGACTGTAGCAAACAACCAAAAGTCATTTACTAAATAGACCGTTCTAATGACGAAAATCTCAATATAGAACAACGTTGATGCCTCCTTGATGTTTGTCCTCATGAACATCAATTAACAGTAAAACGTTATGATAAATCTTCGTTTGGATCATTGCATAAGAACATTTGTGAATACTCGTTTGACTGGAAAGATATTGAAATCCTTGATAGAAAGGATACTACGTACACCATAGGATCTCTCCGTAACTTGACACCTAACTAAATCAGCAATTAACAAACACATCGAAATCATTACAGACTTTCAATCAATCGAAATATTCATCTGCGAAAATACAACCAAGAGTTAGGTCGAAGCGAGATACAATCGAAATAAGGAGACAGATAATGTCAGGTTCGCTAATACCTCGGATTTGTGCAAATGAGATCATTCAGAAGAATAATCCCGTTGTTGATAGTTTCGCTGAGATCACATTAGTGTTGTTGCATATGTGCAATATGTGTGCACTACATCCACATAATCTTAATCATGATACAGACAACTGACAAATCGCAAGTAGAAAAATGTGTTCGAATATATTCGTGATAAAATGCAAAGACGTTGTTCCAGTATGATCAATTTTTAATGTTACCTGTATAGTTCGCTTCCAAGTTTTCTAATTCAGAGATTCGTATAATTGACGGCAAACCTTGAAAATAATTTTGATGAAAAAGTTCAACAAGACGTAATTTACACCATGATGTAAACCGACTTTGTGATATCGAGCATAAAGAAACAGGTTTTACGAACAAGCACAAAACATATGCCAATGAATCAGAAAAGTGAAACAAAGCTGCGGAAAAACGTTGCTGGAGACAATGATCACCAGCATATGAAGATCAAAAGTGACACGTCTCAAGACCGTTGATTTACTAATCAGGGAGAGATAGAAATCATCAATTGTGCAAACATACCGAGAGACGTTTCCTCTTTATCAGTTGTTGTTCCAGGTTGAGATATTTCTTTCTGTATGGTCGTTTTTCCATCTAAATGACAGGAAGACATCGAAAAATAAACCGACAGAGTAATGAAATGGTCTAGAACTGATGTCTGAAATTTCATTCACTGGTCGCCTTATGTTTTTGTGTACTAATGCCGGAGTGCATTTGTATGCGTGTTTGCTTTTGTGCCTAAACTCGTCTGCATTATTTTCATCTGTAGCGACATCTTTCAGCGACACTTGACGTGAAGTGAAACATTCAGTGGTTTCATCCATTCACTTCATCAAAAGTCCTATACAACTCCTAGGTAAGATTAAGTACACTCATAATTAGCAGTGGTGCATTAACTCAATGTTGCCAGTGAACAAATCAAAGCTTTGGATTTATTATGTGAACGACAAGTTGGTCATCGTCGAAAAGTACGAGTTGTAAAACACATATAATCTGATCAACAACATATTTGATGGCATAAATATCATAATGAAAATGGGGTTGAACAACAAACGATCATACATGAATGTTCTGATCAACAGAACTGACTCAGTGAAACTGGGAACTCAAGTAAATCGTAAGCCGACCACGACCAATTACAGTAGAAACAACCCATGAACTCACAAATTCAACTGCGCACAAACTTTATTCAAGAGGGTGGAGACGCACTGCAACACACTTGTGGCGCGACAGATGAAGGAAAATACCTGAAGAATATTCTCATCAAAAGAGCGGCTATCCGGTCAACTGCAACAAAACTAGCAACCAAATGCGTCGGCAGAAACAAAATCAAGCACAGAATCCAACAACCGAATCGTCCTAACACATATGAAATACACACAGTAAATGACAACGAGGTTGTCGGAGCCGTTTGGAATGGGTTTGCACACAACCCAACAAAGTCACTTCAATCAATTCTATGCAAACAAAAGGACGAAACCGTGAAAGAAGTAAAACCGAACATCATCTGCAAAATGAATTGTTCCAGCTGCAATGACCCATATATCGAACAAAGTGAATACTATCTTCATCTTGACCTACACGAACATCGATTGGCAGTCAGACGCCATGATATATCCTCGCTTATATCAATGAATTTAGACAACTATGGTCACACATTCGACTAGATAAATGTTGAGATCTTGGACTGATGGATTGCTATTGGCACCAGAGAATTTTTAGAAGCTTAGCACTCAGGTGAATCAGCGATCAACAAACACATTGAACTAGGTCCGATCTATCAACTAATCAATCAGAAAGATCATGAACAAATATAAAATCAATAATCAGATCAAAAGGATGTGAAATCAAGAGGAAGAAACAGGCAATGACAGATTTAAGGTCAACAGAAATTCACCTGAATAACAGCACTTCTACAAGTATTTATAGTCATGAAGGTCGTATAACGAACTGTGGTTGACTTTTCCACTAGTAAACATAAAAGAGGAGATTCGTGTTCTTGTCGAGTGACAATATAATTCGTTGTGTGGAACTTGATGGTGTCTGTGGTCGAAGTATATCCAGTACCAAGAACATGTGAGATCAATGGGATTTCACCACTGCTCTGTATCATTTTATGTTCTATCGATGTGTAGCACAAGTCATACACACTACATGTGAAAGTGACTGCATGTGCTGGTCAATCGTGTGCTTGACTTTTATTAAACCGTGTAATTGAATTTCTTTGAGATCGACCTGGTTTCACTATCGAGTGTCGAGTGTTAGGCATCTTTGTTTGTGACTAATACGATGAGTATACAAAAATGGCAATTCCCAACTGGATGACAAGTGGACATCGAGAAACAAATCAACAGAGTAAGTTCAGTGAGACAACGAAACAGTCTAAAACTGATGACTGAATAGTCATTCACTAACCACATAAATATAAAAGTTGATATGTCTCAAGCTCCTTAATTTGCTAACCAGAGAGAGAGAGAGAAACCGTTAGTTGAGCAAACTTACCGAGAGTAGTATTTTTCTCGTCAATCGTTATTTCGGGTTGAGTTATTTTGCGCGGTTCGATCGTATTCCCACCTAAATAACAGGAAGGCATCGAAAAATAAACCGACATAGTAAGTTCAATGAGATAATGAAATAGTCTAGAACTGATGTCTGAAATTTCATTCACTGATCGCCTTATGTTCTTGTGTACTAATGCCTGAGTGCATTTGTGTGCGTGTGTGCTTGTGTGTTTGCTCTCGTCTGCATTATTTCCATCTGTCGCGACATTTTTCAGCGACACTTGCGTACACTTGCCCTAAACATTTTTCGATAATAATTTTGTATTCTTTACCTGCTTTGCAGAATTACTCACCGCTTTCTCCTTTAAATAGTAATTCATAAATAGACCAGTAAATTCTTCTATATATATTATACTCTGAACAGCAATACCCTTTCCTCATAAGTTCTCGGTAGTCCATCGTCGTGCTTATAACTTCTCTCAACACATCGAAGGAGCACTTCGTCATTGTTTCACCGAATCCAGGATATATATTCGACATAATGATCTTCAACTGAAATCAAAATATTGAGACAGTGTTTTATGGCATTAATATTTATTCTGTAATCTACTGAAACAATGTCTGTTTTAAACAATTAGGTATTGTGTACTCATCGGTATGTGTCACATAAGAACCCTGTGGGAACTTGATCTCATTATTCTATGAAATTGTTTTTATTTAAATTCTGATGAAAGCAGATAACAAATGATACGAAAGCCACATAACATTGATGGTTGACATTCAGGTCTACAGAATATCAAGAAATTAATATATTCATCAACAAATGTCATCAAAACGAATATCGACGGACTTCTCGTTGAAATTGTGGGATTAACGGTACGAAGATATCAAAACTAACGCAATCAACGTAAATCTGTAAACTCTTCAAATCAACACACGACTGCTACTTGATCGATCGACACGAAACGCAATGGATTCAAGAAAACTTTATAATGCATGACCAGATAGAAACTCACCTCAGGGCACCTATCAATAGCCAGTACACTTTTAGGATAAGTTTGGTTGAACAGATGGGAATCTAAAATGTACACATTTCATTAAATATAGTTTGTAAAACGAATATTCACTCTCAACAAAATATTTCATAAATCGATTTGCTAATCAAACCACTCTATTCAGTGGGTACTGTGAGCTGAACAACATATCGATTTTCGTGTTGACCGAGGAATCTGTGATAAAAACAGTGAGATTGTTCAGACATTATTTAAATTCACTGATGATCTCATACTCAGTCAAACTATTGTGACGTTCGTTGTGACGAGGACGTGAAACTGGTGCAGGAATGGTTATCAAAGTTAATGATCGAATTCTCAACACGATTGGCAATCTGGACACTGTTGAGCTGAACAGATCGAAACCAACGTGCCGAAGAACACGTGACCTTGTCTATGGTGAGAAAATCACTGAAATGCAGCGGAGTGATACACAGCATATCAGTTGAATGATATTTCCGATCAATCACTTGGTTCCGCTGTGTGAGTTTAATGCGAGTGTGTTTATGTGTCGAATATTTTCAAGCATCTCAAAGTCAGGAGCGTGTGACTGAGCAAATTATGGCGATCAATTAAAACGGCCTTAAGGAGTCGAACATTCCCCGACACATTCAATAAATTGTATAATTTCACTACAATCGCATCTTCTACATTACGTTCGCCGGCTTCCCATCATTCAGTTAAGATAACAGTCCTAAACAAAGCAATCAACCCATGTCATCTTGTCACATTCACACACACTTCTATTCAGGCCAACAAGAAATAACAGGAAATCCATATTTAAATCAACAGCCACATATATAGGACAACTTACCACGGCCAATGAATGTCGGATCTAAAATTCAAGATAAATATTATGTTGCGGTTGATGACAACTGACTGACTCTTTCACTCATTCGACAACTCACATTTACAAATCATTACACATCATTCACTTCCTAAATTCCTACACCACATTGACAGATTATTGTGTTCAATATTCCTCAGTATCACTGACTTCAACAGATTTTACAATACACAAAACTACAGAACTTATTGTGAACTTACCACTCACTGAAACGATATCTGAAATGGAGTACAGTATATTTACTACTTAATGATGAAAACTGCAAGCTATGTTATCTCAACTGAACACCGTACATATTGATCAAGTGTGGATATCAACTAGAAAATTGTTATGCATTGGTGATTCACTCACCAATTATCCACGCGCTATTCACATTCACATTACCCGATTCAAGTGTATTCTTCAACGATGGGAACCAGGTTTTCGACGAAAATACTTTTTCCATTTCACTCGATAACACTGCCAGTTCAACCTTAATATTGTCTACACGGATATCGTTTGGCCTTTGTGTGTGATCGATATCACATGACAGAGTAGCAGAACTCAATTTTGGTTCCAATTCCTTCACCACATCCACAACCTTTAAGAAATCACATGAGAACACTATCCGTCAGATTATTTCGTTGAAGTTTTTGTGAAAGTGATCATTCTAACTCGAGTGAGAGTTTCTAGACTTACATTTGCACAATATTTATCCAAAAAATTTAGAGATACTCCTGCTGGACCCTTTTCAATTATTTCATCCCACTCCTTAACACGGACAGATAGTATATTTACAGCGATATCTAAAACAAACCGGAATTCAAATATATTAGATGCAGGCACAATTTAAACACGAAAATCATTCAAAACAGCAGCACGACTATTGCGCAGGAAATCGTACATGAAGCATTTCGAACGTGTCTAGACAGAGTGATCCAATATACGATAACTGATTAGGAGTTACTAAGTGAATGAGCTAAAGCAACAATAAATCAAACCATATAGAACTGGGATGGTCACTTCAATTTCTTCCAAACTGAAACCATGAAAACCGTAGCGCATGACGATATTCACTGTAGTTCGGATGTAAGATAAGAATATGTGTGTGGTGTTTGAATGAAATAATGATTCCTTTGTAACTGTTGAATGTTTGGTTTCGAATTCGAAATACAGTGCATTCCTTCGTGCCTATATACTACTACTTGATCTGATTGCGTTATTTCTGGGATTCTTAGTTCGTACTATAATTCAAATGTTCCTAATTATCAAAATGTGTCGCGTCTGAACATCTAACCAAATTGTACTGCATATTTCATTCAATATACACAAAAATGAACGACTTTCGTTTAATATTTGACACGAAACGTGATGTAAACGCAGTTCATCAAATGATATTACCGTTCAAATAACTTACCTTTACTTGAAAACTCAAGTGTCTCAGCTGCCACTTCTTGATCTCCTGTGACGTCAACAAAAAACAATGGAAATTATGAAGATGAGACATTCACATGAATTGAGAAACGCTTCATCAGTTTACTGACGAGTAGACACAACAAGTGATTGGTCAGTGAGTAGTGACTAGCATCACGTTTACATAATGGTATTAACGGCATTTAACATTGAGTGGATTAGGCACTAAACAGTATTCAGTCAACAAGGAATTCGCCTATAGACAAGAGTCCAGCTGTCGAAGAATAGCTCACTGTTGATATCACAGATTGTGGAGCTATTTTATATGGGGTCCAACACACTGTAATGCAACACTTCCTTCAAAATTTCAGACAGACTTTGCTGACGAGTGGCTATCAGCATGAACAACGATTTTAGCTATTACTGACAACGAACTCTAACCACCGAACGAACTAGGTGCATGTTTATCAAGAATCATTCAGAATAATATTAGCTGTTTGATTTCGTATGACATCGTGAGCGAAATTTATTGGAATCACTAATTCTCGTCTTTCATTTGAAAGCACACACATATTCACATCAATAGACATTTGCTTGATCAATCGACTAAACACGTCTACGGTGATCCATTTGATCTACCGTACTTCAAACTCCTTTACATTGAAGTAGGAGTTCAAGTGATCATCAAAATTCACAGAGTCTCGTCTGTTTTCCTGTGAAACCTGTGAAACACCGAATCCTATTCCATGTGATGTGCGGTCCAGTATGCTTCCATTGAGTGCCATTTATTCATTTCTCCTGATGACAACTTCATCTACAACGAGACTGATGACACTCGAATATGTTCACAGCGTTATGTGGAGGTTCATCCGTCAACTCGTCATGGTTTTGTTATCGGTGCAAGAAGTACACATAGATTGTTCACGTTACACTGAAAACCACGTAGCGATAACAGTGTAGACTGGCTGTGGTACAGGATCTGAAAAACTAGGTGCCGACACAGTCTGGTGAACTGTTCACGAGTACAATTTGTCGTTTAACAGTTGTCGTTCATTAATTTGAGTTTCCATACTAGAACGAATCACTTCTTGCGTGTTCTCTGGTCATCACTGTTAGCCTAGCAAGGGTCAGCACATGATTCGAACTAAGGATTTGAAACAACCCATTATAACGGACAGAAACAATCATAAATAATCAATTCGCAGAGGATTTCGTCGTTTATTATTCATAGTTATCATTTTTCAGAAACCATCTGTTTCCGAGCATCATGGTTGTATGAAAGCTTCACTTCAAAGTTTCACTAAATGTTTAGATTTAAAGTTTGTCTTTACTTCTACTGACGACAAATATGAAGTAAATTCACGTTTTCCACTACGCGTTCAATCAGGACATTCTTCCACTGTTTATATCATCCAATGGGGATCTATTGAAAACTTCAGTCGTTCATATTGATAGTAAGTCAGAACAGTGTTGAACGAATACTTTCTTTATGGTTCTTCGATAAGGATTACAAACAGGCAAGTATTACAACTTATGCTGCTGTCACATTGTATCACGTGATACAGGTAAATGTCATGCAGTTTTGTCAGGAAAATATTGCTTTCTAATATCGTCATGTTAGCAAATTTCAAAATGCTTGCAGTACACGAACGATGAATTCTTATTTATCAATCAATGACTTCGGCAAGGCTTTATTGGAGCCTGTAGACTATCAAGGCATTTGACTTATTATACTACCCGTGAGTTGTTCGAAATTAGTCATAAGGAAGCAGAACTTAGTATGATTCCATACTGATTGATACTCAACGGTGAATTATATTGTGATTGTAGGAGAACCAATGCTCAATGTGGAGATCGAATAAGTGTAAACATCTTTCACGACATGAAGAGTGCTCGTCAACGCACACTAATGACGGGCGACTTCCTGGTCAATCAAAATATTTAAAACGGTTCATCACCGTATACTGACTAACGACATTATTACTGAGTGATTATTTATGTCAAGTACATCGTCATATGAATGAAAGTATAGATGGAAACGCACATTTAGAAAGTTTCCAACTTACCCGCATTGCAGACCAGGAAAAAGAAGAGAAACCAAACAACTGCTACTTGTGATCTAAACATATTTGCTCTCTGTAATTCACCAAGTTTTCTGAAATCAATTACACAGTTAACGTCCTGATTCCTGTTTAAATACAATGATAACGTGTCATTCTAGTCACAATTAAAACGTATGTGATTGGCAAGTGTAAGGATAGAAGTTATCCGATTGGTCGATGCCACATTTTCTAGACTATACCAAGGTCAAAACCAATGTGAATGAGACCATCATTCAAAAAATCAATAAAAGTAACCATCACGTGTAACGAGATAGAGTCCAAACAAATAGTCATTCAATCTTTGATAAATTCATCAAACTATTTTTCATCTTTTGGTCACCCCTTTCATTATCACACACCAGTGTTACTTGAGAACCTGAAATTAAAACATTTACCACACCGTTTAATTTCACTCCATCCTGACCACACATTCCCTGTCAACTTGCGTATGCGCCTATTCAGTTTCCGGCTGAAATATCTTCAAAGGCGTTGAAAAAGTATGATGGCGTGAGAGTCTCATACAAATGAATTTATGTTGATGTAAGAAAACAAATGTTCCAAGATTAAATTCATTCAGGCTCACCGTGATGTACACTCAGTCCATTCATAGTGCAAGTAAACTTCTTAATCATTATGCGTTTCTATTTCCGTGGTACAGTTAATGGCAATGAATGTGAAGATCTCTGTACCAATTTATCGGCATAAAATAATTGGATGTGCAACATTCATCAGCATCTCCGTATTCTCAATGTGTCAGCATGCAATTCTCTCCCGCTAAAAATAGTAAAGATTTCAAGCTAATTAGTGTCATAGGTTTCGCAGTCTACATTAAGAATAAAATGCAACGACATTTTGCACGTCGAGCATTACCCATTGTATTATTTTAGCCTGATTCCGTGCACCATGCCAAGTCGTTGTGATAATTGTAATATAAACGAAACATTCTCATATGTGACAGAACCACTCCACATGTATTTAAAGTGATCAGTGAGAATATTGAAGATGAAATTAGTATATATTGGGCTGCGAAATTCCTTAATTCAAGGTCGAAATGACAAAAGGATTACTGAGAAATTGGACATCGATCCCGTCATTATTATATGATCGCTTCACGGACACTTGTTGCACTTATCAGTTTTATATGTGCATATTTTCCATTATGTCGACCACCACTAAACCGAGAATCTTCTTCTATATTATGTTGATGTTCAGCCTTCAGGGCGAATGGATTCACTGTTCGTGCACCACTTTTCTTTTCAGTTACCTTCTTGTCACGGTCTACATTTAGAACAAATTGGAACTCCACCGTCACAACGTGAAGTATTAGGGGTTTGCACTGTTCCATGAGTGCGTAAATATGAGTACGGATTTCAGAACCAGATTGTGACTGCTATCGGCTGGCAGAAATTGAAGGTTTGATCTAGTTCTGGGTTATCTCACCTGGATCAAATTGTTGACATGCTCGATTCAACTCGTGAGCTTGAGTGGTGGAGTGATTATTAATGTTAGACATCTGTGATGATTGTAGAATGTGGATGTTTGTTCAGTCAAACTTTCAATAATATTAATGATTATCATTCAATTGCAAAGTGATGACATATCTTATTGTTTATTGTCTTCTACAGGTTATTTATCCTTTATATTGTAAAACGAATTTATGGACATGGAGTGTTATTTTAATTTTAACAGTTTGTGAACTCAGGTCAAATCTGAACATTCCCCGTTTGAGATGGTGGAAAAGATATGTAGCTCAGGTAATGATTTTGATGAACTTTTGTTCTCTATCAGAAATTCCACCTTTTGTTAGTAGCTGTGATAAGGTATTTGTGGTTGGTGTGCGAAACTAACGTTGAAGTTATCTTATCAGAAACTGTTACCAGCTATAATGTATAAATGATCTGAAATTTGTGCGGAAAGTGAGTAGTTGCTGTGTGATCAGTTCATCCATTAACTGTGTGATACTTAGCACCTAGTGCTACCATTCACACTTTGAAACGGGTATTTCGTTTTTACGCCAAAGCTAATAGGTTGTGCCCTGAGTGTTGCATGCTCCGTCCTGTACAACAAATTCACAAAGACCGACAGTTTGGTCAAGATGAATAGACCACCTACGTCTTCACAAATATTCACGTTTAAACTTCGAAAGCGATTTCCAACATATACTGAATGGTATTCGTGACATTACCGCAGGATAGATAAACAATGATGGAGAATCATATTTGTGGAATTTACAGTGGCGTAATTTGTAATCAATGATTTATTCAAAACGTATGGCAAGTTGAGTGCGACAGGGCACTACAGTAATTTGCGCTAACCAGCTGAATGTTAGGAATAAAGAGAACTAATGGTCAGTAATAGGATGTGATGATATAGGATTGCAGGCGATGTCATCATTCACACATGACCATTTTACAATATTTCAAGTCGGTGATAACGTTTATGCAGTGAGTGAGGCAATTCACAACTTAAATGATAGAAGAGAAATATAAAGACAATGATCTATACTTTGACAAACGATCAAACAATATTCATCAGTGAGAACTGCAAATGAATTACGTTCAGGAAAGATGAAATGAAAAATTGATGCAAATTAATTATTAGTTAAATGAAAAAGATGTCGGTCTACTAAAAACATTGCAATTCTCGTTTGGACATTGATCAATTTGTTAAGAAGATGAACTGTTTTTAAATATGGATATATAAACTTCACCGAAACAGAATTCCATAAATCCCAGAAATAACGCAATTTAACCGAGAAGTGCTAAATGAACACAAAGGAATTTATTGCATTCGGAATTCGAATTAAAACAGTCATCAAATACAAAGGAATCGTTAGTTCATGAAAACACCACAGTTTATCAACATCCTGACAGGAAATATATACATGTTGTATTCCATACATCAGAAATTTATATCATACTCAAGGAAGAACCAATATACTTTCATTAGTATGTCCTTTAAATTTTGTACATTTTGACTGTGGCCTTCCAAGGCTTTTCTATATGATAAATAGACGTTTGAAAATTCACTATGGCCAATGGCTGACACATCGTTCGACAACTCACATTTACAAATCATTACACATCATTCACTTCCTAAATTCCTACACCACATTGACAGATTATTGTGTTCAATATTCCTCAGTATCACTGACTTCAACAGATTTTACAATACACAAAACTACAGAACTTATTGTGAACTTACCACTCACTAAAAGCAGCAACTCAAGGTCTGAGGGCGAAGTCGTACTGCTGACTGTAGAGAGGTGTGACAGCAGTAAGGTGTTTCCCTCGGACAACCAGCATCTGCAGCGATGCTGCCTTCCCACAAGGAGGGGTGGGGTTAGAAAAGGTCGACCCTAAAAATGCACACCTCACCTTACCTCACGGATTTCCGTCTCCGGCGGTAAGGCCCCTTGAAGAACGGAGCTAACACGTCAAAAACCTTCCACAAAAAGGCCGTGTGCGACCGGCCTCAAGCAGTTGTCCCTTGGGCTCTGCGGTCACGCTCCCAGGTCGTCAAGACCAACACTAATCCAATTTCCTTTTCAGGTTCATCAAGAAATACCCTTCCACGGTGTGGGCAGCCGGGAAGTGACATCAGCCCTCATACCCGTAACAGCACAAGAGACCAAGGTGGTCACATTCAAATCCTTCCTACACCTCCTAATACCTCACTTATCCTCCCGACTAACCCTCCTCACGTCTCTTTATCACTTCGCACCGCTAGAGCAAACGATTCGAGTACGTGGAACGCCATTCCTGGTCTCCTGAAACCACGCTCTAAACTGCACGTAGGAGCTTTTAACGTACGAACACTGTGCCAAATAGGACAGCAGGCTTCCTTAGCTAGGACTTTAGAATCTCGCGCCATCGATGTGTGCTGCGTCTCCGAAACGCGCATACAAGATCCGAGTAGCGTCATTCATTTGACCTCACCATGCCAAAATAAAGAACCGACTCGATTTACGCTTCGTGTATCTGGAAGCCCTGATTCTGCTTCCCGTGGCCTCGCCGGCGTAGGTATAGCATTGAGTCCTAGGGCAGAACTAGCTCTCTTAGAGTGGATCCCAGTAAACAGTCGTTTGTGCGCTGTCCGACTGAACGGAACAGTAAGAATCCGGAAAGATAGGGACACTCGTCGTTGCCTCTTCGTCGTCTCTGCCTATTCTCCCACTGACTGCAGCTCAGATGATGTAAAAGATGAGTTTTACAGAAAGCTTTCGGACCTTCTCCGAAAAGCTAAGCGCTCGGATGTAGTAATAGTGGCCGGTGACTTTAATGCTCAAGTAGGTAAACTAAGCGATAAGGAAAGACACCTGGGTGGATCTTATGGTGTCGTGGCTCAAAGAACAGATAATGGCGACCGTCTGTTGCATCTATGCTCAGATAACCGCCTGTTCCTTGCAAATACTAACTTTAAGCATAAGGAAAAACATCTTTTAACATGGCGACCCCCTAATTCGTCCCAACGTTGGACCCAAATAGATCACATCGCTATCAGCCACCGATGGAGGGGCTCGATAGAAGACTGTCGCTCATTCTGGAGCACATGCTTAGATTCAGATCATGCTCTAGTGCGAGCGCGTATTTGCTTGCGTCTTACTGGACGTAGGAAAGATCCTGCAAGGAAACCTCTTAGGGCCCTACTTAATGATAGTCAAGCTAAGAATATATTTCAGGAACAACTAGGAAAACAGTTAGGCAGCCATGTATGTGATGCCCACCCCGAGGCAGCATGGAACGATATCCGAAAAGCTGTGGAAACAGCAGTGATATCTGCTAGTAAGGTAAACCGTAAAATTAGGGAGCAACACTGGATCTCAGCAGCATCTAGCGCACTGATAGATGCTCGAAAACTCATTCCACCTGGCTCTGAACATAATGAAGAGCGGAGTCAGCTTAAGCGCAAGCTGACAAGAAGTCTACGCAATGATCGCGAACAGTGGTGGGTAGCGAAAGCAAGAGAGATGGAAAAGGCAGCGGCAATAGGTAATAGCAGACAATTGTTTAGACTCGTTAAGGAAACCGGAATTAGGAACCTGACCGTTAGCGAAACAATCTCAGAGAAAGATGGACATATTATTCATTCTCAATCCAGAAGATTGGATCGATGGGCAGAACACTTTAGGGATCAGTTCAACTGGCCTTCAGCCACACTTCGGTTTCCCACGATCTCCAGTCAACCTGAATGGCAAGTTAATGTAAGTCCTCCGTCCCTTTACGAAGTTGAAAAAGCCATAGGAAATCTGAAACGAGGGAGAGCAGCAGGCCCTGACAGGTTTACTCCTGAGATTTTTAAGGATGGTGGTCCAGTATTAGCAGTGAGATTGACTGAGGTCTTAGGTAGAATTTGGGAACTGGACGTAATCCCATCTGACTGGTCTCAATCACTGATTGTGCCAGTTTTTAAGAAAGGACAAAAATCCTCTTGTGACAATCACAGAGGAATCAGTTTGACTAATATAGTGTCTAAAATATTAGCTTCAATAATACTTCGACGCCTAACTAAAGCTCGTGAAGAGCAGACTAGAGAAAACCAGGCTGGTTTTCGACCTGGACGTGGTTGTATAGATCAGATATTCACACTACGTCAGGTTCTAGAACAGAGACACACATTCAGACGCCCCACAATGGTAGTATTTCTCGACCTTAAGGCGGCATTCGACTCCGTTGATCGTGAGGTTCTATGGCAGTGTTTGTCACTGAAAGGAGTACCAAAGAAGTACATTAACCTTATAAAGGCTCTCTACTCGAACACAACTGGTCGAGTGAGAGCTTATGGCGAACTGTCATCAGAATTGATCACCTCAAGTGGTGTTCGTCAGGGCTGTCCACTCTCCCCATTCTTGTTCAACTTTGTCATTGACATACTTTTAGGGATAACACTCTCCTCATCTAAATTTACAGGGGTTGAACTTCTACCAGGAGGTTCACTTGTTGACTTAGAATATGCAGATGACATAGTTTTATTTGGTGAAGACGCTGACAAAATGCAGAGTCTTCTGACCACTCTAAGCAACAATGCAAGCATGTTCGGGATGCGATTCTCTCCCTCGAAATGCAAAATGTTGCTTCAGGATTGGGTTACATCGACACCCGAACTAGTGATAGGGAGTGAAGTAGTTGAGTGTGTCGACCGCTTCACTTATCTTGGAAGTCTCATCAGCCCTTGTGGTTTGGTGTGTGACGAAATCTCAGCACGGATACAGAAGGCTCGACTAGCTTTTGCCAACTTGCGTCATTTATGGCGTAGGCGAGATATCCGTCTATCAACCAAAGGACGTGTTTACTGCGCAGCAGTTCGTTCCGTCCTACTTTATGGCAGTGAAACATGGCCGATAAGAGTAGAGGATATCCGTAGGTTACTAGTATTCGATCATAGGTGTCTTCGAAACATTGCTCGTATATCATGGGACCATCGAGTAAGTAACACAGTTGTTAGGAAACGGGTACTAGGTAAGGATGGCAAATCAATTGATGAAGTAGTGAAACTTCATCAGTTGAGATGGCTGGGACACGTGTTACGTATGCCCAACGACCGACTGCCTCGACGTGCTATGTTCAGTGGTATAGGAGTAGGTTGGAAGAAAGCTAGGGGCGGCCAAACCAAAACATGGCACAAGTCCATGAAGTCACTGACAAGTGAACTGAGTCATGTTGGTAGGTGTAGACTACCTGGTTGGGGACCGCGAGATGACAGCAACCGATGGTTAGAGACCCTGAATGACATGGCTCAAAATCGTTCGCAATGGCGCAGGTGCATCCACTCTCTGTGTTCTCCAAAACTCTAATCTTCTGAATTCTTCATGTCCCTTTTTCCCTCTTTCCAAATTTCTTTCACTGGATTATACTCTTTAAATAACATCTCCAAACCCTAATCTTCCCGATTACTGCTTATACTCTTGCTACCTCTACCACTACGGGATTTGAATCGACCACTGCATCTCTGTGCTAATGTGGTGTGGCAACTCGAACTGATGTACGTACGTACGAAGTTCTACGTTGTTACTGACTGACTGACTGACTGAAATGGAGTACAGTATATTTACTACTTAATGATGAAAACTGCAAGCTATGTTATCTCAACTGAACACCGTACATATTGATCAAGTGTGGATATCAACTAGAAAATTGTTATGCATTGGTGATTCACTCACCAATTATCCACGCGCTATTCACATTCACATTACCCGATTCAAGTGTATTCTTCAACGATGGGAACCAGGTTTTCGACGAAAATACTTTTTCCATTTCACTCGATAACACTGCCAGTTCAACCTTAATATTGTCTACACGGATATCGTTTGGCCTTTGTGTGTGATCGATATCACATGACAGAGTAGCAGAACTCAATTTTGGTTCCAATTCCTTCACCACATCCACAACTCATTTGAAATCACAGAATGATCTAATCTAAGTGACCAAACCATTTCATTCACAGTACTATGCAGTTAAACGACGGTAGTCCAGTTCATTTTGTTTCAAAAGTAACTGAAATTTATCAATTCTTATCGATATACCGTGAAATGATTGTGGGTAAATAGCGAATTTCATTCTCTTCGGTAACTATCGCACTACCTGTAAATATCGAGATACCAAAACTCAAAGCTCAAAGAAGCCCAGCCGAGGATCTTCCATTCAATCATGTTTTGGAAGAATATTCCAAAATCTCTACATGTAGCTTCCGCATTGTACAAATGCTTAAACCACCTGTACGCGGATTGCATGACTATAATGATGATTTCGTTCTACTGAAAAGCCATAAATACCTGATAGATTTGTACCATACTTGACACTGTTTGAAATAGAATTCCTTCTCACCAGCGTTTGAATGCTCAAGTTGTATGCAGTATAGTAAGAATCCAAGCTCTACATATCTTCCTCTCTACCTTCAGTCAGTGAATTCTTACGATACATGAATCACTTATATTTTCACAGAAGTCATCGAAAACTCCAAATAATTGATGAAGTGACCTGTCTTTAACTGCCTTATCCCAGCCCTCATTTGAACTTTCAGTATGCTCTCAACAATATTTGAAATTGCTGAGAATTAAAGAATGTGACATGCACATATGTTCCACTATAATAACTGATGAGATGATGAACAATGCAAGGCGACCAAATAAACAATCTCACTGTTTGCGAAGGGAAGTGTTCGTCGGTTAACAAAATCCAACAGTAAAAGAGTGCTATTAGTGTTGTTGATAAATCGGATCAGCAGACCTGTTGATTTGCGACTGTTATAACAACTCTTTTCTGACTATGTGTTATTAATGGAGAAATACGTCGTTTATCTTTTGATGATACATGTTGAACACGACCAAACAGTGTGACCTATCATTCTATAACTAAAGAAATACCAATGGAAATGTGCTGCAGAAAACAAATATGAAGTCATCCTAAATTCTCGTACACATATCTTTCTAAAGTATCTCAAACGTAATGTTTAGAGAAAGGACATAACAGCATACTAAGTCTTGTTAGTGAAGATAAACAATTTGTTTGTCACAAACATAATTAGGTGTTGCACAATTAAAGTATCTGAAATCAACGTACGTGCTAATCTATATGTAATTTGTTGTATGTAATTGCTTCACGGACTTACTTGGTTTTTGTGGAGTCTGGAGACTGGACTGCAACCACGTTATCTATGGTAATGTAAAGAAATTAGACAAGAAGAAGAATAATTGAAATGAAATAGATAAATAACTAAGTGTATAATACAATTAATTTTTAACAATTATATTCACATTAACTATGATGATGATATGACCATTGTATGAACTATTCGATATGATACTGCATTTATGACCAGATCTACTTAATCATCAACCATCATATTTCGTCTCAAACAACATGTACTTAACAAACATTCACTGTGAATAAACGCTAACACTACTCTGATCGCTCGATTATTAAAATCTCCATGTCTGAGATGAAGCAAGGAACTCAGTGCACAGTTTGGAATCAATTAGACGGCATGAACTTCACAAATGACCTGGCTCTACTATCCCATACACATGAACAAGTGCAGATGAAGACAACTAGTATAGCAGCAGCCTCTGCATCAGTAGACCTCAACATATACAAGGTTACATGTGTCTCACCGCATCACAACACGGAGAACCAGATGGGTCATATTTGTACCAATGAAAAATTCAGAAGGACAATAGAAGACGTGAGAACCAGAAGAGGAGATAACATAGCCTCAGATCACCACCAGGTTGTGTGCAAGGCGAAACTGAGGCTAAAGAAACACTGGACATCTGTGGAAGCACCATCACGAAGGTCCAATACAGCCTACCTACGAGATACTGACAAACTCAACCAATTCATGGTATCTCCCAACAACAGGTTTCAAGCCTTGCAATATCTACTCAGAGAAGAGAAACAGACTATGATGGACAACTGGAAAGAGATCAAAAGACACTAACTTCAACGTGTCAGGAGGTTCTGGGTCGCCAGCTGCATCATCCTAAGGAGTGGATCCCTATGGAATCTCTGGACAAGATTCAAGAAGAGAAGAACAAGCGAACCGTAATTCAGCGACAGTTGAAAAAGAACAGGAAAAGTCAAGGCGCCAGCTGAACACACAGAAGCGAACAAGCAAGTGAAGAAGGGCGTCAGCGCTGATAAGCAGAAATACGTTGAAGAGCTTGCAACGACAGCGGAAAAAGCTATAGGACAAGGAAATATGAGACAGCTATATGACACAACGATGAAACTGATGAGGAAATATGGTGAACCAGAGAGACCGGTCGAGGACAAAGAAGGCAAGACAATCACTGACATTCAAGGACAGTGGAACAGATGGGTAGAGCACTTCGAGGGACTCTTGAATAGACCAGCTCCACTGAACCCACCGGACATCAAAGCAGCACACACAGATCTTCTTATAGATGTCACTCCACCGACGATGGGAGAAATCATGATGGCCATCAGACAAATCATGTGTTGGAAAGCAGCAGGACCTGACAATACATCAGCTGAAGCATTAAAGTCAAACATAGAAGCAACTGCAAACATGATCCACGTTCTCTTCAGGAAGATTAACAAGGAGGAACAAATCTCAACAGACTGGAAAGAAGAATATCTCATCAAGATACCAAAGAAAGGAGATCTGAGCAAATGTGTGAACTATGGAGGAATCATACCATTATCGGTACCAGGAAACATTTTCAACAGAGTGTTGCTGAACTAGATGAAAAACTCAGGAGAGGCCCAACTTCAAAATCAACGGGCTGGATTCTTGCACTGTAAATCAAGTGTAGAAAAACAACAGGAATTCTCACTACTCATAATTTAAACATGCTTGTTATTAAGCATTCATCAATTGATTTTATGAATAATGAAACTACATACAATCAGTCCTTTGTTTAATTACCTGCACACAATGATTTAGATCATATTCATAAAAGATACAATTAATCTAATTAGCAAATACCATTGTTTTATTTTAAAATATTACAGGTTCATACTCATTATAAATGAGACCATCTCGACGATAAGCCTAATAACAAGTTAGAAAGAGATGATATGTGCCAAAAACAATCACTGTTTACAAATGCACAGAAATGGCTTCCAAATCTTCTTTGCTTAAAACTAAATAACAAGTAATTCAATAGAAATTCACTACTGAATAAACACTGAGGAATGTTAGGTGAAAAATAATTGCCCAACGATAGCACACGTTTTACTATGATCTGACACAATTTAGTAAAACTATCTACTGTACTCTAAATTATTGTTGGAGATGGTCAAAACCAATAATCCGGAATTCCATATTCCAAAGACATTTTCAAACTTAGTTGTATTCTGAAGTACTGTTCAACCCATATAATGTGTACATCTCTGTGAATTGCCAAATAAATAATAAACTTCACGCCTATCGATAGTCACTATCAGTAACAACCTACTATGGGAGAGAACAAATCAGATCCCAACGGGTGAAGAAATCAGGAAGAAACGCTGGAAGTAGATAGGACACACATTGAGGAAAGCACCCAACTGTGTCACAAGGCAAACACTCACATGGAATCCTCAAGGCCAAAATAAAGGAGGAAGACCAAAGAACACATTACGTCGAGAAATGGAGACAGACATGAGAAGAATGAGCAACAATTGGATAGAACCGAAAAGGAAGGCCCAAGACAGAGTGGGTTGGAGAATGCTGGTCGGAGGACTTTGCTCCATTAGAAGTAACACGTGTAAGTAAGTAAGCAAGCAAGTAAATAAATATCGATAGTCAATGCATCTCGGCTGAAGGAAGTTCATGCACATAAAATAATATGTGAGTGTTTATCATACAAGCTTATTTCATGCTACATGTTATCATCGAAGACCGAAACTCCAAAAGATATACGCATAAACAAAGATCACACGCTTCTAATGCCAAGTGTAAAATGTATACGTCTCAATCATTGACAGTTGTGGATGTACGATACATTAATAAGCAAGTTGAAGAGCCATTCAAATCTTCAAGAAATTCATGTTCTAAATTATCGAACGTTCTATCACTTCACAATAGTTGCAGATGTGACTTACTTTGGAATATCGTTTGAAAAGACGATTTAGTTTGCCATTGTATTTACTCAGAATAGATGTAAACATATACAATAAATGAATACGTTGATGCTGAATATGTAAGTGTTTTACCCCAACATAGGTTGTCCAAACAAATCACATATAATTATTATCAAATATAAATCAGGTATTAGATTAAGTGTGATTGATTTCAAGAAATAATATTCCCTGATGATTATATGTTGGACATTCTGGACATATGGTACAACTTGCAAAACCCACCTTGTTTGTGATTGATTTCATGTAAACACATGTGTCCAGAATTTTCAGTGCCAACAGTTTCAACACTAACAACTGTATCAGAATTGATTGATTGAGATCATGAAGCGATTGATGTTAGACCACCGTTGGAAACCTCGAAGCACTAGACGACCGTTTCGTCCTATTGTCGATCCCGCTCGCAGGATTCGAACCCACCGCCTTCAGTCTCGCGCGTGAACGTTTCACCTACTAAACCACTGAGCCGGCATCCAATCATGTGTCTAACATCAACCAATCCACGAAATGATCTCAATCAAAAACTTATTAATCTCCACAACCTCTATACTAATAATTATCAGAATCAATTAATAAACTATTCATGAACGATTACTTTTTGTCTGCAGTACATCAAGGATTAATACTGAAATAGAACATTATTGTTGACATTGTTAACAGGAGGTTGTGACGATTATTATCTTTTTGATTGAGATCCCGAGAGTGGGATTGTGAATGCGCACTGCTGAAGAGTCACAAAATAGGACGAAACAGCCGTCCAGTGCTTCCAGGTATTCAATGGTGGTCTAACATCATTCGATTCATGATCTCAGTCTAAAATATTATTCATATTTTCAGTTCTCTTTCATGCTCATTTGTATACTATTTTTAGAGTTTAACTTAATTAACCCTGTAGTCATTATTAACATTCCTTTTCACTCATTTGATTAATAATAAGAATAAGAATAAGAATAAGAATAGAAACAATAAGAGGTTTGATATTTCTCTACAGAAATATTTTAGCTGCTCATCATACGTGATCTTTGATAAAAACGTGATTTTGATCGGCTTCCTTCTATTCTGTACTTTAAATAAAAGTGTTACCGCTTTCATAATTTGTTCCGCAAAACGAAACCGTAATAACATTCCAAAGATGAGTGGATCCCTTGTGTATTGTATGAAAGACAGTCTATCAATATTATTAAGTCACTGTAACAATCCGATGACATATTTTGATCCATGACCATGTCATAGCTTTCATTGATTAATTTCCAACTTGGTCATTGTTGTACTTTGATCACGAAGAAGAAAGTGCACCTCACACACAAGGAGGTGCTGTGATGCTGTCCAAGGAAGTACGAAATGCATTTATAGAATGAGAATCTCATGAACCCACAATCATTAAAGGATCATTCAAAACAAAGTAGGAGGATATTACAATGAATGTTATCCAGTACTAGGCAGCCAAAAATGAAGTGCATTTCAAAAGAATGAATAGCAACTGAGAAAAACCGGAACGGATTTTTCGGAATTGAGTTCGATGGAGAATTCTGATGTGTGGCACATGCTCTTCCACCATTCTACTTGTCATTTTATCTCATCATCTGTATCTTAACAGTGTATATTAGGACGTTGAATTTTGAATAAGTGTCATCTGAACAGTTAAATTCCTTTCTCTTTTTCAACGAGATTGTTGACATCGTAACTTGTATTTCGTTTCATTCATTGCATATAACCTGGTCGATATTATTATCTGGTATTTACGAGTTTTAGAGTTATGTCAACCATTTGCTTTACTGTGAATAAGATCAGCAACTGAATAGTGAATCCGAAGTAACTTCTACAAACGAGAATATGACTGCCGCTTCACCGAAACATAATCCCATAAAGAAATTCTGAAAACTTCATACAGCATGATTATCGAGTAACCCGACCCAAAGCACAAATCAGTGTGTTAATCACTGAAATTATAATGCATTTGGAACGTATAAAAATCTAAAGTGTACAACGTTTAACAGAAGTAAATAGTGAAACAAAGATCTACCATCAATTATCAATTAGAACAT